TCAGGCGGGGGGGGAGCAGAGGTGAACTGGGGTGGGGAGCTGCCGCACGGCTCCCCGGGCCAGGGGGTGTGTGGGGAGCTTCCACGGGGGGGGGCGCCTCAGGGTGGAGGGGGGGTGGGGAGCTGCCACGGGGCTTGGGGAGGGCGCAAGATGGAAGTTTCACCTAGGGCGCAAAACATCCTTGCACTGGCCCTGATTATACCTTAAGCGGTGCCTTCTTCCAGCTGGGCTGTGCCTTTTGGAGGCATAATTTAGCTCTCAAGTAATAAACCGTATCAGGATGTGCAGACTGTCAGTACTCACATGAGATGCATTAGTGAGGTATGAGATCAAAAGTCATTCTTTCAGCCACCTCCAAAGTTCATCTGTAGCCCAGGAATATGCACCTTATTGTTACTATTATTACCAATCCTTCATTTTAAACTCTATGGACCAAACTTGAAATGTACCACGTCTACACCTACATTCATCCTACTTGCTTGCCTGGACCCCTGTTTAAAACTTCCAAGGGCCAGCACTCCAGGCATGTCACGGTTAAGTTCAGTCCCCTTCCATGCTAACAAAAGTCCAGCTAAAGAATCCAAATTAACATCCAAACAAACGATCCTTTAGCCCCTCTCGGTTGACAAAGAAGTACCTGACTCTACACCCCTACTCCAGGGCACTGCAGAGGTCCAGCCTCCCAGGAGGCCCTGCTTTCTAGCCCCAATGCCTCCCCTCCCTGGGGACTCGGCAGGAATTATTCTAGGGAAGTTCTGTGGCCTGTGTTATGCAGGAGGTCAGACTAGATGAACATAACAGTTCCTTCCAGCCTTAGAGAATCTATGAAGCTAAAAGCTTCTTCCAGGAACCCCCCCTGCTTTTTTTTACAGGCCTATCCTGCCCCATGTGGTTCTCCCCAGCCTGCCTGCCAACCTTCTGCAAGTCCTTCCCAGAGAGAGGGAACTCCCCTGGTCACCCTGACCCTTTCACAGCTAGGATCACTAATGTAATTAAGCCACCCACTCAGGATCAGCCGGCAGATAACTGCTATGCCCCAGGCAAGGCTGAGCCCTGATCCCCTGATCCCCAGCTGGCCTGTGATATCCTGATTCTCAGGTTACTCTTTTGCTGCACTTGGGACAGGGAGGAGGGGCGGGAGCAAAGGTGTGGGGGGGTGGGAAGCAAAAGTGGCTTTGAGCTGCTGCCCTGCAAGGGCCTGTTTGGCCACTGGGGTAAATTAGAACAGCCTCAAGGCTGCTCTAGCTGATGCGGTGCTTCCCATGGCCTCCTCTGAGCCCTGAGAAGAAGAGAGGTTCATAGTCCAGTGGATTCTGGCAATCTCCCCACCCCACCCCTAAGCTGCACCCTATACCAGAGGGCTGGGAGCATGGCCATTTGCAGCCCTTACTGCCTCTCTGCACCAGCCGGGATGGCCCTCTGTGTGGCGGCTATTCTTAGGGGACCATTTGCTCCCATTTTAAGGCCCTAGTAAGCTGCACAGCCACATAAAATGGACTTAGTGAGATGTTCACTGTCTCCCATGAGCACCGTTTTGAAAAACTCAGCCTCTGATTTAACAGCTCATTTGTGCGTGAAATATTCTTGATAAAAATGGAGTATTCAACTTACTACTGAATTCTGCAAAGTGCCCATCTCCAGACACGTTCCAGATTCCTGAACATGCTTTGGATATTTGGGAGCTTACGTTAGGTGAATGAAACACAGGAAGGATGGTGCAGTGGTTACAGTGCTAGCTTGGATCTATTTTCAATTCTCTGCTCTGCCACAAATTGCCTGCGTGACCTTAGGCAAGTCATTTAAGCTCCCTGGAAAATAGGAACAGTTGTGGGCTCTCTTTCCCGGTGGTATAAAGGAGACTGAATTTAAAACAATGTAGGCCAAATGAAGCTGCTTGGTGGTATGGACTATTAGGAGTAGTTCCGATGGAGATAGATTAGTGGGCAGAGTGCAGGTGAGATGGTCAAAGATGTGTGTGTGTGTGTTTCGCCACTGCCATACCAGTGTGACTCCTCTACAATAGAGTGGCACATAGTTTGTAAAGCACTCTATGATCCTTTGGGATAAAAGCGCTACACAAGCAAACAGGGAATTTTGTTTCCATATTTTCAGGAAGGATCTGAAGGCTTCAGAGATGGACAGATGAAAAAAAAATCAGTTAAATTGCCCTTTCCTCTCTGGGTTAATGGAGACACCGTGAGCCAAGGCAGCTGACGTATCGGCCAATGAAAGGCCCTCATGCAGGCTTCTCAACATCCCTTTGCTATCGGATAGATTGGATGCTTCTGGACAAATACTGTAACCTTTGAACAAAAAAGGCTTTAAACTACTCTTTAGTTGCCCTCTTCCATATAGTTTTCACTGCCTACAGCAGCCACTGGATGTAAGGGTGAGAGTGGGGTTCAGACACGGGAGAGATTAATGGCCAATCATATGGTTTGATTCCCCCCGCTACCCTCCATGCTTCTTATTTCCCCGCTGCCTCTGCTCCCCTCCAGGCCGTTGGCTCTGGGGTCAGAGGGAGAGAGAACACTATGCCTTTCTATGTTCAGTATTCTTCTCCCAGACTCTTCGGGAAGTGCTATGGAGCTGGGCGGGCTCTCTCCACTTTAAAGCTCAGACCCTTCCCATACTGGTGGATGGAAAAGGTCCATCATCCAGCAGAATCGCTGAGGTTCTGCTCCATGGCGGTTGAGAACAGGGTACCAGGGGCCTTGCAGAGTGGGCCCCACACCCTTACAGGGGATCCCAGCACAGCGGACGAGCAGGAAGTGGGGCTAGAAAATCCACTAGAAAGGAAGGCTGGTCTAATGGTTACGGTGGCCTCTGTTGCTTTAGAGGATCTGGATTCCATTCATTGTTCTGCTACTGACTTCCTGTGTGCCCCCTTGGGCAAGTCACTTATGCTCAGAGCCTCCAAATGTACCTGACTCCCATGGATTTCAGAGGTAGTTCAGGGACTGAATACCTTGAGGATCTAGGACTTAGTCTTGCCTCAGTTCTTCAGCTATAAAATTAATGGTGATAATAGCAGTTCCTTTCCTCACGGGGGTGTTCTGAGGATAACTAGAGCAAACATGGTGAAGAACATTGTGAGGTACTACGGTAATGGGGACCATATCACCCCTTCAGGGCAAGGACCGTCCACTACTCTATTTGTACAGTGCCTGGCACAATGGGGTCCTGCTCCTGTTTGGCCCTGGGGCACTACTGTAATAAACATGATTAACGGTAAGTACCTAAAATTAGATAGATATCGGGATCTTCCATTCCTTTGGCTTAGCTGTGGCCTGGCAGGTCAGATTCCTTCCTCACAACAGAGTTCCCCCGTGTCCAGACATATTACTCAGGATGGGAACTGAGGCAGGATTTGAAGCTAAGCCCAGATCTACAGTTAAAATCAGATTGCTCTCGTTACGTTGCTGATGGCTGTTAAAACGTTTGCCCCCTGTGTGACATAGGTAGGTTGACTCACCACCCGGTGTAGGCAGGTGGATGGAAGAATTTCTCAGAGAAGCAGATTAGCAACCCTGGCAGAATAACCCCTTTCACTGACGTAGGACGCATCTACACTATGATGCTACAGCATGGCCTTAGTGTAGACACACCCCTGCCTGTCAGCACCTCAGCCTCCTTCCTTCCCTCTGTGTAGATCCAGAATGCTCTGTGCATGCCGCGTGTTTGAGGTGTAGAATGGGGAAGCAGAACACAATGGCAAACAGAATTCTAGTCAGTATTTTCCATTCATTCACAGGTGTCCGTCCACACTATATCAGACCTTAATCTGGTATAAACTGATGTACCTCTGTGGAAGCTAGTGGAGTCACATCAGGATTTTTTGTCCCTTTGGCCCTCGCCTTGCTGTGCTCTGCATGCCAGGGAGTATTTGAGGGTTCTCTAAACACTGTGAGAGTCCGTTGCAAATGCTGCTGCTATGAGTTGTTTACCGTATCGGTGCACGCAAACAAGGCTGGGTTATTTAGATTTGTCATGTACGGCCCACTCCACCGTTATAGAATAAATATTGTGAGCCAAGTACATAGCAGTGCATTTAGCAGCAAGGCACTTAGCTGGCTTAACAGAAACAAGCTGCAACACCTGTGCATAACAGGGGGCGTTTTCAGTCTTGATTCTGATTTTCCTGCCCCCGACTTTGAGTCAAACTGTTACTATGTTGTTGACATCGAAGGCATGCTGTGAATTCATACTGACCCACACGGTCCATGAGAACTGAGGATTGCTCAGTTCTTGACAAAACCACTTGGGTCTGATTCTAATGAACTATTATTATTATTAATAATAATTAATTAATCATTCCTTGTACCTAGAGGCCTTAACCCAGATAAGACATTGCGTTAGGTGCTGTACGGACAGTAAAAAAAACACTGCCTGAAGAGTTAATAATCTAAATAGACAAGAAAGAAAAGGTATAGGTGGTAAGAAGTACTATCACCCCCATATTACAGATGGGAAACTGAGGCAGGGAGAGACTAAGATACTTGTCCAAGGTCACACAGGAAATGTGTGGCCGAAGCAGGAATTAAACCCCACTCTCCTGAATACCAAGCCAAGTGTCTTAATCACTGGCTTGATCTTGCCTCTTATTTACACCGGTGTAACTACTCCGATTTCAGTGGATATATTCCTGATATATACCAGTTAAATGAGAGGGACAATTAGAATATCAGGGCAGAGGCTTGCAAGCCAGAATGGAACTTGAAAACCCCATTGTGAAATCATCCCTGCATTCCTCCACTTTTTTGGCAGTGAATTATCCACCATTGGGTTAATATCCATGGGGCTGGTAACTGGCCCGGGACGCTAGGCTGGATTGTGGTTGAAACCAAGCACTTTTAAAAGCATTTTCTTTCTACTTGTTGCTGAAGATTCAAAGTTCCTGGAAGGCAGAGGGGCTGGGATACGTCAAACTTGAAAACAGTTACTGCTATCTGAAAGTGGGGCCCCTCCCCGCTCATGTGAGCTGGAAAAGCAAAAGAGAATGACACATGTGCTGTTTCCTTTTCCAGTTGCAAAGGGGTCAGGAACTCGGCAAGGAGTGTCTGAACAAGTGTTGCATTCTCCTGAGTCCTTGGTCTCTTCCCTGCCTTTCTAGCTGCTCTGTTTAATCCAGCCGGCGATTCTGAACGGGGGAAAAAACAGTCAGCACAAATAAGGCATTTCTGAAGGCATAAATTATGAGTGACAAAAACAATGTGACACCATCACCATGTGAGTACCCTATTTTTTTCCCCTCCCTGCAGTAACAGTGAATTTACAAGTCTGTTGTTTAACCAGATGATTTTTAAACACAGTTCAAGTTCTGCAACAAATTGCCTGGAGTCTCCTTAAAGGAAAGAGATATCGATGAAACACTCTGTGTGTGTGTGTGTGTGTGTGTGTGTGTGTGTGTGTGTTTGTGTGTGTCTCAAAAGTTACAGAGAGAATCGAAACAGACCTCTGCAAAGTTTAATTCCTGAATATAGCATATGAAAATTTGTTACATTTCATTCGAAGTTCTAGTTTAGAGAAAATATAAAGTAAATGCTTTTCCCATAAGGAATGAAAATATAGAGCATTCAGAAGGCTTAGTGTCTCTCTTCTGAGATATTAATGGTGCTGCCTAGCTTGTATTTAGAGACACCAAGCTGTCTGTATGTAATATGAGATGCAAGCCAAAAACTGTCAGTCTATATTTAAAGTTACAATGCATGTTTGCTTTGGGAACTTTAGAAACACAGTCTTAGGGCAACTGAATGGTTTTCTCACAGTAACGTTATAGGAGGGAAAATTCAATGCTGGCATAGTTCTGTTGATTTCAGTGAGTGGCATAGGAGAGAATTTGGCTCAGGGAGTTCAAGTGACCATGCCATTTAATCACCCTATGGTAGAATATTTTTGGGGTAATATTAAAAAAATTGAGGGCCAGATTCTGATCTGGTGCAAATCTAGAGTAACTCCAGCGACATCTATGGAAACATTTTGGGTTTCAATGGTGTAACTGACAGCAGACTGTGACCCACAGTCCAGAGAATGGCTTTGGAAGAGGTTTGCTGTTTTACTTGAAATATAACCAGTTTGGTAACATCACAACATATTTGTAATGAACCCACCAAAACGGAATTGATCCTCACAGTAGATCCCTGTAATAAAAAGCACAACACAGAGGGGAGTGCTGGGAAAAGATCCACCCTCAACTCTTGGTCCCAGGGTTGCTGTAGGATGAACTGGTCTATATGAAATTTGAAATTGACAATGGTTTTCAAGCTTTGAATGAGATAGATGGATTGAGCAGAAATGTTATATTGAAAAGAATCACTGGAATTTTAACCAAAGATTTTTATTGGCCCCGGGTCTTTTTACAAGTAGAAACCAACTTAAAGGCTGAAAAATCACCTCCATCTTTTTTTTTTTTTGGTTCCAGTAATTTTGACCAGATTTAAGCCTATTCACTGCTAATAGAAGGAAAAAACAAAGATTGGCACTTTAGAAGACACTACGGTGACTGGGAGCTTCTGTACACTTATTTTCAGACATGTAAATGACTTATAACTATTGCCCTCAAATGTCTTGTGGGATGGGGGAGTTACACTTATTAGCTGAAATGCACATTATTGATTGGGCAGTGTTGTTGCTTATGTAGAAACCCCAAGGCCCAAGCTTAACTCAGGAGTTTTGCCTGCTTAAGGCGTTCAGGAGTGGACTCTCAGGCCATGATTCAGATCGCACTTGTGCTAGTGTAGATCAGGAGTGACACCAGTTTAAAAGTGGCGAAAGTGAACTCAAGAATCAGGCCTGACATTTGACTTATCTAAAGCGTTAATTCGGTGTGTCAGCATCTCACAACAGTATAGAATGAGAAAACAACTGTATCCATCAAATCATTTCGTTTTCGGTAACATCTAGGAAGGAGTTCTCAGTTTTTGACCATGTCAGACTCTGCAAACCATTTTTACAACCATACACTATAGATGGTTACATACAAAACTTGCGCCCCTTTACCTAGTGTTGACTTGAAATAATGTCGCTGTCTGCTTTCCAACTCTCTGAATGCAATTTCTCCTGCAGATTCAGACAGGATGTTCCTGTATCCTGTTTCAGTTTGCATCATGGTAAATGTGATCCACATTGTTTAAAAAACAAAATAGGAACCAAATTCAATTAAAGGGGAAGCCTTCTGGTGACTACATATGGAAGTTCAGTGCATTATTTCTATGCAGGCCTGTTTTGTTTTCCTGGCACAAATCCAGTAGCTTTGGCACCAGTCAGTTTCTAATCAAGGAGACGTTAAAGTTCAATGTGTTGAGAGGTCCTGTACAGCACAGACAACAGATGTTTAACAGAGAGGGACTGTGTCTGGCAAAGCAAAGTTGTATGGCTTGATAAGCAAAATAAAAAGTACTGAAGCTGGTGCAAATATCCACAAAGCATCAGCAATCCATCAGACTAATCTTATACTAATTTTTTGATACTGGCTGGGGCTGCCAGATAACAGCTGTTTTGTGAGGTTGCTAGAATGGTGTTGGGTAACCTAATTATTAGGGTGCTCTGGTGATCCTCTTGCATTTAGTGATGAATGATACAGGATTTTTACTCACTCTTTCTTTGTATACAAGCATATTCTTGATGGTCCTGAAAGAGCATAACAGAAAGAGGAATGTTTCCATTTTAAAATTCCCAGCTTTATGAACTTAGAGAATTTATTTTCCTCCCATATTCCTCTACCTCTCTTCTTCTGATCATGGCTCCTTTACGTGCCATGTGGTGAAGCCATTATTGAACTGCTGTGAACATCCCTGCAACAGTGTATTTCATCTGCATCGGTTTATTGGTAATCTTATGCTTATTTTTATTATACTCAGCCCATGAGATTTGCCCATATCCCTCCCCACCCCCCAAGAAGGCAGTGGGTGTAGACAGTCAACATGTGGATTGTTGTTAGAAAACCTAACCTGGACTCTGGAGATGTCCAGTTCCACGGTAGAGCCCGGGCCTCCTAAACTTTTTCAGGGGAGTTGAAGGACAAAGCCCTGGGTGGGATAATTTAGTTGGGGTTGGTCCTGCTTTGAGCAGCAGGTTAGACTAGATGACCTCCTGAGGTCCCTTCCACCCTGATAGTCTATGATTCTATGACTGCTCGTGTGAGTGAGGATTACTCGCAGGAGTAAGGGTTTGCAGAATGGGGGATCAATCCTGCAAACTGCTGAACTCTGTCCGGTCCCATCTCCTTCACCGGGAGCTGAAGGTGTTCAGCAGGGACAGGCCCTTGAGCACCAGCCTGGGTGTATGCTTCTAAGGGTGCAGCCTCTAATGCCCACGTTGGCTGTGTGGAGCAGCAGAAAGGGGAGAACAACTTCCATGAGGCTATTTCCTATCCTGTGCTGAGTGTAGAGGGATTGGAGCCTTGGTGCTGCCGTGCAAGGCACCATCCAGCACAGATTGGAGGGGGAAGTGCTAGGCAAAGGGCTAGTGCCTGACCTTCCCTTCTGGAGCCAGGGGAAACTCAAGGACCAGATTCACCAGCTGGTCTCTTGCCCTTCACTCGGGGCTTCTGGCAAAGCCACAGTCAGTCCCTGACGAACCTTCATTGGACCATCTGCTGACTTGGACCTACACTTGATTTTGTTGCCTCTCATCAGTGGAGGCCCTGTCTGGAACAGTAAGTTCTAAATAAAAATGGAGGCTATTGAGTAAGGAAACGTACTTCATTCCATGCATCTGAAGAAGTGAAGTTTTTTACCCACAAAAGCTTATGCCCAAATAAATCTGTTAGTCTTTAAGGTGCCACTGGATTCCTTGTTGTTTTTGTGGATACAGACTAACACGGCTACCCGCTGGTACTTCTCTGCTAAGCACTGAGTATTTAATGAGTCAGGAACCGTGGAGGATTATACTGACCCCATATTTTAAAAGAAAAGGCCCAAAATGCACCCACAACTGCATGTGAAATTGAGTGCCTGTGTTTGTGTGCAGAAGAGAAGAGTGAGGGGGGATATGATAGCAGCCTTCAACTACCTGAAAGGGGGTTCCAAAGAGAATGGAGCTCGGCTGTTCTCAGTGGTGGCAGATGACAGAACAAGGAGCAATGGTCTCAAGTTGCAGTGCGGGAGGCCTAGGCTGGATATTAGGAAACACTATTTCACTAGGAGTGTGGTGAAGCACTGGAATGGGTTACCTAAGGAGGTGGTGGAATATCCATCCTTTCAGGTTTTTAAGGCCCAGATTGACAGAGCCCTGGCTGGGATGATTTAGTTGGTCCTGCTTTGAGCAGGGGGTTGAACTAGATGACCTCCTGAGGTCTCTTCCAACCCTAATCTTCTATGATTCTATGATTATCATGACTCTGCATGTAAATTGGATATACCTAGTCCATTCTATGTAGGCTCTTATATTGTGCCCATTTTCATAGGCATCTATATGGAAATGTGCAAATGCAAAGACTGTAAGAATGTAAGAAATGTAAGAAATTGTAGTAATTGGACACACAAATATAGGTTAAAAAATACCCATGCAAATAACACTCTGCTTTTCTTAAAGTGCATGACCCTTGACATTTATCGGGATCACTCTGCCACCCGACAATTAAAACAAATATTATACAGCAGATTTGAATGATCCCGGTTATAACTAGCTAAATTCATAGGCCTATTAGCACTACTGCATGGCACATCGTAACCTTGCCACAAAGCTGTTATCACTGCATCTTTCCGTCTGGGCTCTCATGGAATACTGTGCATCCATCACTGCTCAGATGATAGATAGAAATTGAGGTCCCATTTTCAAAAGTGAGTTAGGCACTTAGGCTCCTAAGTCCCATGAAACTTTGGAAAAGAGGACTTAGATAGATAGGATCTATCTATCTATCTAAGTCACTGAAGTACTTTTGAAAATTTTACCCGCAGGCTGATAGCTGTTCCTGCAAACTATCTGGTAAAGGAATGATGACATTTGCAGAAATCAGGATTGGTTTGCAAATGATTTATGAATAGAAAAAATTAAAAGCTATGCTGGATAATTTATTGGCAACCAATAATTCAACCACGTCCAGCAATGATATTGCAACGCAAAAACAGCTGGCTGGCAGATCGCATTGTGTGGCAGAAATAAGATCCATATTCCGTGAGTTTCTCCAAGAATCAGCGTCATCCAGCTCACACCAGAGTCCGATCGAAAGTGATTATCCATTCCATACTCTCATATTGCATACACGCAGTGGTATGCCTTGTGTGTGT